ACAGCACACACACACACACACACACACACACACACACACACGCACACAGAGAGAGAGAGAGAGAGAGAGAGAGAGAGAGAGGATGTGTTCTCTTTCAGCCTGCCTGCTTGTGTGTATGTCTCCGTCAGATTGATGGCTCGCGGGCTGACATGATTGTAAAAGACTGCCTGCTGTTAATTCTCCTCCTTGTCCTCCTCCTCCTCCTTGGTCTCCTTTCTGTCCCAGGTTTGCGGGTCCCTCGAAGTTTCCCGATGCTCTCAAATGGTCCGAGAAATGGGTGAAAGGCCATATCGAGGACAGTGACAAGCTGGGAAAACCTTTCCTTCTCGGGGAGTTTGGTCTCGAAAACAAACAGAACCTTCCCACCATCAGCGCCAACCGTGCCAAGCTGTTCTCTAATGTCTATACCTGGATGTTCAACTCTTCCAAGATTGGAGGGTCCGGAGTGAGTGTCCTCTTCTGGCAACTCCTGACTCCCAAACTTCAAACTACGAATGAGGACGGCTTTGGAGTGACGATTGAACGCGAGCCCGAAGTGAAGAAAGCCATCGCCGACCATGCGAAGCAGCTGAGCAGCATCAAACTATCGAGGCAGGCAGTGCCAATAAAAAAGACAGACTCTGAGAGGAAGATGAACGGGGGCGATTCGGAAGAGAAGGAAGGACAGTCGCTGCAAAAAGTACACAAGGAAGAAGGGCAAGATGGAATCAGTCTGGAGGAAGAAGGATCAGACGAAGGACAGAAGAAGAAGGAATGTGTGAAGGAAGAAGAAGGGATGGAGAAAGGCCTGGAAGAAGAACAGAAGGAAGGAGGGCCGGGAAGGATGACTGAGCAAGGCAGGGTGGACGCTTAAGGAGGAAGGAAGAGAAAATAGAGGGAGGAAGGAAGAGAAAATAGAGAGAGGGAGGGAGGCTAGCCTTGATAGTTCATCTTCATCGTTCATCTTCATCGCGGACCATGCTAATCAGCTGAGCAGCATCAAAGAGACAGAGACGAAAATGAACGGCGGCGATTCGGAAGAGAAGGACAGTCTCTCCAAAAAGTACACAAGGAAGATCCGAAGAAGTGCAAGACGGAGGTACAGTGGAGGGCAATCAATGCTGGCAGGTCCCATCTTATATGCTTAGACTCCCTTGATATCCTCAGACTTTCTCATACATTTCTCATACACTCTCAGACTTTGATTGTTGTAATATGGGACGCTGGACCCGTTTTCCAGAGCAGGTGATGCTCCCCACCAATAGATGGAGCCTCTCCCTAGGTGTTAGTGCTGTGTCTGCTCTTATCAGCAGCACTAACACTGGCGGGGGCTTAAAAAAAAAAAGAATAAGAAAAAAAAGAAAGAGGTATAGTAACCTGTACAAAGTGTGGAGGAAGAAGGATCACTGAAAGACGAAGGACAGAAGAAGAAGGAATGTGTGAAGGAAGAAGAAGCGATGGAGAAAGGCATGGAAGAAGAACAGAAGGAAGGAGGGCAAGGAGGGCCGGGAAGGATGAGTGAGCAAGGCAGGGTGGACGCTTAAGGGGGAAGGAAGAGAAAATAGAGGGAGGAAGGAGGAGAAAATAGAGGGAGGGAGGAGGAGAAAATAGAGGGAGGGAAGGAGGGAGGGAGGGGAGGTAGGGGAGGGAGGGGAGGTAGGAAGATCATCCTTCATTCTTTTGAGTATTTTCCTCCTGTCCTTTTCTTCAACTGCGTTCTGCAACCCTTCTTCTTCCTTCAGACATTCCTTCTTCTTTGCTTCATCCAGTCGGACTCCTTGTCTTTCTGTCTGGCAAAGGACCGGCATGCTGTTCGTCTCTCCTGTGTCCTCTTTTTTTTTTTTTTTTTTTTTTTTTTTTTTCGGAACAAGGCTACGATCTATTCGTGGGGAAAATGACATAAAGAGATTGATCATTCAAGTGTACTGTAGGCCTTGTGGCCCTCTTTCTGTCCGTCATGCATTCCGTCCTTCTGTCGTTCTTCTATTCTTTGCTGCAAGGGAGCGAGTGAGGGCAAGGAAGGAAGAACGGAGGAAGAAAGGAAGAGAAACAACGGAGGAAGGAAGAGAAACAACGGAGGAAGAAAGGAAAAAGGGGGCAAGGGAGGGAGGAAGGGAGCAAGCAAGGGCTTCTGGTGCCACTGGTGGTTCGAAGCGGGTCATCCTGCGATGAGCGACGGCAGGATCGAGTGGGACTATTTCTCATTATCATCTGCTTCAGTTCTTCAGTGCTTCAGTGCTTCAGTGCTTCAGTGCTTCAGTGCTTAGTGCTTAGTGCTTAGTGCTTCAGTGCTTAGTGCTTCAGTGCTTAGTGCTTCAGTGCTTCAGTACTTAGTGTTTCAGTGTTTCAGTGTTTCAGTGCTTCAGTGCTTCATTTCCATCAGCAAGTTGAGCTGCTGTTCCAAAGTTGCCATCCCGATAACGCAGTCTGGTCTCGTCATTCCCCATCAAGTTCTGCCACGTCAGCAGTCGAGCGAAAAAAGCGGATGTCGCTTTCTTCCGTTGCATCCGTTACATTATATCGTAGACAAGACAACAAAGACCAGCGTTATAATTATATTATCTGTTTTTTTTTTTTTTTTTTTTTTTTTTAAATACGAGGATCGCCCAATGTCCATTATATCCATCATAATAATTAACAGTGGATATTAAGACAAAGAGTGACCAGCCGATATAATCTCGTTCGAGAAGCGGCCAATTCCGCCCATCGCTTGCACTTTGTCCTTTGTATTATTGCCATAGATATAGATTCGGTGTGTACACTGTACACATTTGCCAGAATTTATGCCATTCCTCGCATCAGCGCTCGCTCTAGCTGCGAAAAAAAACTTTCAGTCAGAAAACTATCCGAACTTGAAACCTCTTTGGGATGTCCTTTAGTTGGACAGTCGATTATAGATTCGGTTTAATCTTACGGCTGCAAGAATTTATGTCATTCCTCGCATCAGCGCTCTCTCTAGTTGTGTGTGTGGTGACTGTGGTCCTGTCGTAGGATTAAACTGTGAGTATGATATAAGTACGGCACGAGTCCTACTTTTGAGAGTTCGCGTTTGCCTGTGAAAGGTAGGGGTGGTTTAATCTCAGCTGTGGCCGAGACATCTCAGCCGTGGCCCATCTGGGGTGTGGCGTGGCCAGTCTGGAGTGKGGCCGAGACATCTCGGCCATGGCCCAACCATGGGGCCGTTTTTTTTTTTTTTTTTTTTTTTTTTTCCAGCCGCGGCGCGGCGCTGCGCGACGACGCATTTTCAAACTCTAACCGTGATAGCGCCGAAGTTTTCTCTTATATTTTTTGTGCTGGTAATCAAATAAGTAGGAGGGACTCTTTCATATGGCGGCTTTGCTTGGTTTGATTGCTTGTTCTGCTTCGTTATTTGAACTTTTTTTTTTTTAATTAATAGATTTCCTAAAAAGCCTGTATTGTAGTTAGGCTATTGTTCCTTTCAAAAAAAAAAAAAAAGGCTAGGCTGTGCACTCGGGTCCTTTTTGGTCCTGTAAAAAGAGACACTGGGTAACGCTCCCAGACTGGTGTTTGCTTCATTCCGGGATGATTGTGAGGACCTGGGGCCAAGTCCCACCAGCAGCGTTGAGTTTCCTCAACGCCTGAATCTGGTCGTGTTTGTCGATACATGCAGAATTGACGTTGAGTTTCCTCAACTGCATGTCTCCACCAACACGTCCAGATTCAGGCGTTGAGGAAACTCAACGCTGCTAATGGGACTTGGCCCCTGGGCCTCAATGAACATTTATTTGAATATCAGCCTTGGGCACTGGGCAGTGGGCCCCCTTTTAGGGAAAAAAAAAAGAGAAAAGGGAAAAAAAAGAAAAAAAAGAAAAAGACATTTTAGGGGATGTGAAGGGCTGAGTTTGACATCCCGAATTACAAATTTATAATTTTATTATGCGTACTTCATTACAGATTTTATTTTTTTTTGTTGTCATTTATGGTCCTATTATGACGGCAACTATACTCAAATTACTGTGGTAATCGTTGTACAAATAGTGAAAAAAAAAAAAGGCGAAAGAGGAGGGGGGGGGGAGGGAGGGTCTGAAAGCAATGAAAAGCATCCGCCCACTCTAGTGGGATAAAAGACAAAGTTTACATCGTTCTCACATGCACCACATTTTGAATGCATATGGACATCTTTACTGTCCAGATGCATTCAAAATCTTGGCGGGATACCCTTTCACTCCTCATCAATGATCTTCTCTAAGTTCTCTCCTCACAAAAAGGTAAAACTATACGAGAAATTTAATAGAAACAGGGTTACCAGCCCGTACGTACGGAGGTCCCTGGGCAGACCTCCGTACGTACGGGCATTCGGGGTCCCGTACGGGGTAGGTGTTACATACTCCAATGAGTATGGGCAGAACCAAGAATCAACCAATATAGGATGAGTATTTATGCAGTGGAAGTCTGATAACGAACTGACTCACATAGACTGACTCACATAGACTGACCTACATGGCATCACTCCACACACATACAATCATGAGATGGTGGGGTC